TATATATATATATATATCTAAAATATTTACTACTACTACTTATTATTCCTATTAATTTATTTTCGATCGTTATTATTAATTTTATCTTTAAGAAAATCATTTAGAATATATGAATACTGCATTTTTCTTAAAATCCTGAAACATTTTCTCTAAGTTCTATTTTTATATTCTTGTCAATCTTTAATTTGAAATGTTAAACCATCACAGAATTATCTTGATTAATTACATTTTATCACTGTAATAATGTACTGCTAATATGATTGTTGCAAGCGCATATTGTCGACACTTGCATCAATTAAATTTGACGGATCGCGATAATTCCATACCAGCTGTATATAGTTTTGTCATTGATGTGTGAATGTAATGTGAAAATATTGTATGTTGTTGGTGTGGCAGGCGTTTCGGGACAAAATGCGCGGGCTGCGGCCAAGGATTGGCACCTTCGCAGGTGGTACGAAGGGCGCAAGAGTTTGTCTATCACCTCACATGTTTCTCGTGCGCTCTATGCTCTCGGCAACTGGACACTGGCGACGAATTTTATCTCATGGAAGATAGAAAACTCGTCTGCAAACCCGATTACGAACAGGCAAAGGCGAAAGGTAAGAAGTAATTATTTTTACGTAACTCTTCTCGGATACACTGTGAAAAAAATTTGCTAAATTTTAATAGGGTAAACCCGGTATATATACGCCGCGTCAGGAAATACGCCACAGAAGTCAGAAAAAATAGAAGGAGTGGGGATAAGTTTCCGTCAATTACTTTGTTACATGCCTTTATGGTATATTAGTATTATGTTATAATTTCAGTTCTTTACTGTTAATATTAATGAAATTATTGCGAGTTAAATCGATTTTTTACTGTAATAAGTAGTGCCATCATAATTTATAATCTACATAAAATGATTATTATAGAGCGTGTAAAAGACTTAGTGGTTATTTTGCAATACATATGTGTAGAGGAATAGTAAAGCATGTTGTATAGCAAAATACAAGTGCTTTGCTCCTGTATTGTTTGTTTAATTAGTTGTCATATATATCCCATCTATTTGGGATATACGGCATTTTTAGCGAGCGGGATGCTGTGCCGCAGCACAGACGCTCTATTTAAGAAGTTTTTGTTAATTCTAACAATTATACATTGCATTAATGTATAAATGTTGATAAATCTTAAACGTTTAAAGATTATTTTCAAAGATTTGAAGCT